TCTCTCTATATATATATATATAGATAGATAGATAGATAGATAGATAGATAGATATATACACACACACACGCGCGCACACACACACACACAGAAGTCTTTAAGGATTAAATATCAGAATTCTGATTATTATATCTTACTGCTAATTGAAAATTAGTGAGGAAATGACCTTCTGCAAAGTATTCTGAGAACGAGTTTGTTAACTGACCCACAGAAATAAATGAACTTTTCCACAATATTCAAATACATTCAAATGCACCTTGTATACAGTGATCCCTCACTTATTGTGGTTAATGAGGATCGAGACCACCCGCGAAAGAGGAAAATCCGCGAAGTAGTCGAAATTTTAAAAATTATATATATATATATATATATATATATATATATATATATTCAGTATATACACATGTATAAGATGTATAAGTAAGGTTAGGTTTGTGTATAAATAACAAAATGCAGTAAACATAAAAATGAAATGTACATGTAGTACTGTATATGTTGCTCTATATTACTCGATGTTTTGCTGACTTTCACTGCCTCTTGCGGACCTTTTGCGGCATTTTCGCACTTTTAAAAAAAATTTTTTTTGAATACTTTTGAAAAATCCACGATGCACTGAAACCGCGATAAGTAATCCGCGAAGTAGTGAGGGATCACTGTATGTGATGCATAATGTATCACTTCTTTTCTTAGTTCAGAAAAACTATACACAGAAGACTGCCAGTAATTTCATGATAAAGTTGTTTAGTGAGCTTCTGCCTCTAAAATATTCTACATGTATTTATGTGTTTGTTGTGTCTTCATGATGTACAGTAGACCCCCGCATATTTGCAGTATTTTCTCCCGATCTCCAGCTTAAACGTCATTTCAAAAGAGAAAAAAAATTATAATGGCAATTATAATGACGAGGCGGCACGGTGGTTGACTAGTTAAAACGTCCGCCTCACAGTGCAGAGATACCGGGTTCAATTCCAGCTCCGGCCTCCCTGTGTGGAGTTTGCATGTTCTCCCCGGGCCTGCGTGGGTTTTCTCCGGGTAATCCGGTTTCCTCCCACATTCCAAAAACATGCATGGCATACTGATTGAACACTCCAAATTGTCCCGAGGTGTGGGAATGTGAGCCCGGATGGTTGTTCGTCTCTGTGTGCCCTGCGATTGGCTGGCAACCAGTTTAGGGTGTACCCCGCCTACTGCCCGAAGACAGCTGGGAGAGGCTCCAGAATGCCCCAAAAAGCTCGTGAGGATAAGCGGGTCAGAAAAAACTTTTTTGGGGGTAGGGGGGTGGATGGATTATTATGCCACTTTTTATTATTTTTGCCATTCGCGGTTGGGTTCTAATCCTCCGCAAATAGCGGAGGTCCACTGTACTTCTGTCTATTTCCGCCGAGTTTGGTCAAACGTTAGCTTACTCAAAGTCGTATATCAGTTCAGGAACTTGGGAAGCTTAATAAATTGAACTTTCTGGATCAACACCAGTTTGTACCAATGCTGTTTTGGCTCAAACCAAATCCGGTGTAACCACAATTCCTGACAAATTGGTGCAGCGCACACATGGGCTCGTGCGCCACATGTGTGTCAAAAGTCAAACACAATGACTGTGCTGTTGTCCCCAGAACGTTTTGATGATTGCAACTTGTGCATTGCCTCTTGCAGATACTTGGTTATTTTGACTATGCTTTCACGGCAATCTTTACTGTTGAGATCCTGTTTAAGGTAAATGGTGTGTGTGTGTCGTGTGGTGCCGTGCTGGCTAGAGCTTCTGTAACCTCCTGTGTGCTTGTGTCACTCTGATTGCCTCCTCAGATCCTAGGCTATGCAGACTATGTCTTCACTAGTATGTTTACATTTGAGATCCTTATTAAGGTAAACAAGAGAGCTTTGAGATGCCTCTGCAAAATCAAATGAAATCAGTAAATCCAATAATTCCACCTCTTCCAAGCATGCTGCCTTTGCCCACCTTCATCCGATAAATGTTTTATTGCGAACGGCCGTATGTCATGTTGTCATGGCGACAGTCCATCAATACATTTTTTTGTACTTTAATGATATTTCCGTGTCTCTCGATGACTGTTCCATCTAAGCTTGAGTCGAATTCATTCTTGAACTCTTCAAGCATCAAACATATTCAAACAAAAAACATTTTCATTTATTAGTTGTAGTTTTTTTTTTTTAATCTAGTCTCCTCATCACTAAATTCATACTGCTCAAGAATGCACCTGTATAACATTTTAATTCTCAAGGTTACAGTTGGCTCCGTTGGATCACCCGATTGCATGTTTAGACTCGATAAAGCCCCTGTCATTTTTTTTTTTTTTGTCCAAGTTTTCGTTTGCTAAAGTCCTTAAGAATTTGATCAGGAGAAGATTACAGAGCCATTTTTTTTTTTTTTTTATAGCTCGTAGGATTAATCTGCACTGCAAATCAATGTAGTGGCTTTAGAATGCTGTGTTGGATGTCTCTTTCAAATGTCTAATGCCTGTGTGTATATTAACATGCCTGTATCTTAAATACGGTGGAACCATTGAGGTTGATTCGACGGACACCGGTCAACATCTGATTTGTTTTAACTTTCTGTTTTAAATTTCTCCCATAGAAATCTGCTATCATCAAGTGTTTATTAACCCTTTCAGGGACAGCGGTTACTCCAGTGGCCAGCTTATCATGTTATCAAGTTACAGGGTGCATGAAAGGGTTAACTGGCCAGACAGTGTTTTATTATGATTTCAACATTCTAAATAGCTCAAAAACTTGACACGATAAGAGAACAGAAATTGTGCTCTCCAGTATTTCACAGTGGTTGGTAATCCCCGTCTTAGATCGTCATACAGTGGCCAGAATGACATGGAAAATTTTTATTCAGGTGTAAGTTTCCCCTAAATTACTGGAGTACTAATTCATTTATTTCCCAAAGCGATGGCAATAAAAAGACAAACAACGAGCAAAACATGCTAACTGACCTGAGCTCTCACAGTGTATGCTGATGGCTCGCATAATGCCATGCACGCACGCCATTTTTTTTCTTCCACTTTCCAAATTGTGTGACTTCAATGGCGTTCAACTTCGGTGGTTCCACTGTACTAGATTGCCTAATCAACCAAATTTTATTCAGAATTTGCCTTGTGAGAGTGAAGTCTGTCACCGCATCAGTTATTTTCACATTCATATGTTATCGATTTTTGACAGTGTCACTTTCATGTGTTGTGCACATAACCACCTGCAAAACACGATGCAAGAACTGTTATGACAAGATTGACACATTTTCTTATTCTCTCTCAACACATTCCATCATTTATAATTTTTTAAAAAAAATGTAGTGTAATCTCACAGAATGAGTTTTTCTGATGGTGTTGCTGGTCTTGACTCACATCTGTCTGTCCAGATGACGGCATTTGGAGCGTTCCTACATAAAGGAGCTTTCTGTCGGAACTACTTCAACCTATTGGACCTGTTGGTCGTTGGAGTGTCTCTGGTCTCCTTTGGTATTCAGTAGGTATCATTCAACAATCAATGTTTCTTGACGTGTTTTTAGTCTGCCACGCCCTTGTGACTGTGTGTATGGCAATAAAATGGATCCCAGCTTGTGCCCGCTCGTGTGCTGTCTTTACGTTCAGCTTGGGTTAGATTTTTTTGACAAGGCTCTGTCTAATGATGTTTTTTTCTTCCTCTGTAGGTCTTCTGCAATCTCAGTCGTGAAGATTCTTCGTGTTTTGCGAGTCCTCCGGCCACTCAGGGCCATCAACAGAGCCAAAGGACTTAAGGTCAGCCTGACGGTGTTGACTCAGTTCTGGATGATGTAGATTTTGGTGTGTCCAATATGCATTTCTTAATCACTTAATTAATCCATGAGACACCCAATACTTACTCTTGAATTTGAATTATTCGAGCAACACATTTAGGACAATTTTAGATTCCCGACTGCAAGTTTTCTGCATTTTCACTTTCTGTAGGTGCAAAGGGGAAGCGGCCCATTACTACTGCCCATATATTGCATGCACCTACCCTCTTAACACAGGGGTGTCAAACTCATTTTTGTCATGGGCCACATTTTAGTTGCTGTTTCCCTTGAAAGGCCGTTATGACTGAAACCATATAAAAAAGTCAATAATAACGGTTTAGTCAACTATTGTTTAAGTTACTGTAATGAGGGGTTTGGTCACAAAAAAATCCTTACAATATGTCTCTAATTAATTAAATATGAGAATTTTAAATTTTGGTAGAGATTTTAGTAAGCATCATGGAAATGTTTGATGTTTCATTTACTTTCGTGGGCCACATAAAATGATATGGTGGGACAGATCTGGCCCTCGGGCCTTGAGTTTGACACCTGTGCTCTAACGTGTTTTTTTGTTTGTTGTTGTTTGCGGTTTTTTTTCAGCATGTGGTCCAGTGCGTGTTTGTCGCCATCAGGACCATCGGCAACATCATGATCGTCACCACGCTGCTGCAGTTTATGTTTGCTTGCATTGGAGTGCAGCTTTTCAAGGTAAAGAAAAGCGGGAAACACTTGAGCAGTTGCTTTTGCTTCAGCTCAGAATAGTTATGGTAACTTTGGCAAGTCAAGGTGATATGACGATAGTCACGTTGGCCTACATAAATAATCTGACATTGAATGATATGATATCATCATATGAGGTCAGGACTCAACAGAGTGTAGTGCGGGCCTATAAGCCAGTTGTTTATGCTTTCAGGGTAAATTTTATCGCTGCACAGACGATGCAAAGTCCAGCCCCGAGGAGTGCAAGTGAGATTTTGATTCATTTCACCATTTGTGACCGTCTCAACAAGGATCTCCATGTGTGTGCAACCGTTCTGTGTAGTTACAAAGTGTCATCCTCAAAAATCGCAGGGGAACGTACATTCTCTACAACAATGGAGACACCGCAATGCCCGTGGTCAAGGAGCGGCTCTGGTACAACAGTGACTTCAATTTTGATAATGTCCTCGTGGCCATGATGGCGCTCTTCACCGTCTCCACATTCGAAGGATGGCCCACGTAAGGAGTTTTGTTTGAAATCATTTACTCTGTCTCATCTGTATTCAGGATCTGAATTTGTATTGTCAAACCAACTTTAAATCCAGGTCTGCAGGAAGCAGCAATTTGTCGCTAGCATGTTTACTTTTGACATTTTACGCTTACATCGCGAGTCAAGTCTCATCCCTTCAAATTGTAATTAGCTGTGCTGCGTACCCTTGAATCGGAAAAATGCTTCATCTTACTAAAAACCTCAGTTTCTCCTTATAGCCATACAGATCCTAGCTCAAAGTCTTCATCTAAACAGCGTTGTTTTATGCGTTTCTGTTCTGTTTGCTTCCCCCCTCACAGTCTCTTATACAAGGCCATCGACTCGAACCGTGAAAACATGGGTCCCATCTACAACTACCGCATTGAGATATCCATCTTCTTTATCATCTACATCATCATCATTGCCTTCTTCATGATGAACATCTTTGTTGGTTTTGTTATTGTCACCTTCCAGGAGCAGGGTGAGAAAGAATACAAGAACTGTGAGCTGGACAAAAACCAGGTACGCCATATTTCTATGCACCTGTCCAAAGAAAACCCCCAAAAAACAAGAAACTGTTTAATCTCTCCCCCCTCCAAAAAAAAACAAAAAACAAAAAACTGTTTCATCTCTCCCCCCTCAAAAAATATTTTTAAAATACCCTCGATGGACTAAAGTATTTTTCTTTCTCTATCTCACAACTGCTTCAGCGCCAGTGTGTGGAGTATGCTCTTAAAGCCCGCCCCCTGCGTCGCTACATACCCAAAAACCCATACCAGTACAAGTTCTGGTATGTGGTCAACTCCACCGGATTTGAGTATGTCATGTTTGTCCTAATCATCCTCAACACCTTGTGTCTGGCGATACAGGTAAGCGGCCTTTTTTTGTTTCACCATCAATCTTCACACTCGATCTTGATTCTTGTTTGTTATGTAGTTCTCACGATGCGAATTAACATGAACATGAGAGGACATTTGTCTTTTGTGGGTGCAACAACGAACCTTTGGTCAAATGTGTGCGCTGTCTCTTTCCAGCACCATGGACAGTCTCACCTCTTCAATTATGCCATGGACATCCTGAACATGGTCTTTACTGGCGTGTTCACTGTTGAGATGATCTTCAAGCTCATTGCCTTCAAGCCCAGGGTGAGTCTGTGTGCTGTAGGGGATATTAGAAGACCAAAAGCTGTTATTAAAAAACACTACGATTGGACATTTGGACTACGTGATGTGTTTGGCATTTTAGTTTAAAGTAACAAAAAAAAAGGCAACAGTAGGACAAAACCACAGAAATAAAGGCAGCAAGGCCTGATTCTCAGAGATAATGTCTTCACGTTGAAACGCACAACAAAGGCCAATGTCTCGCTGTCACTAAAAGTGCCACTGAATCTTGTGAAATATGAGTATACTGTATGATGTGAAAGCAATGTCGTGTCAATCAATCCAGCAAATTAAAAGCCGTCTATTTAGCATGAGCATATTTTGACACAATTTAGAACTACTAGAACATAATTCATGTTTGATATCTTCTGCTAGCCTTAGGCAGCAAGTAGCGGCGTTTGGCCAAAATGATTTTGCTCCTGCCAAGTATGATCATCGATAATACCGACTTCGCAAAACGATGTAGCAACTGTGGAGCAAGACCTGAATCATCCATTCATCCATTTTCGAATCCGCTTCTCCTCACAAGGGTCGCGGGCACGCTGGAGCCTATCCAAACTCTATTTGGGCAGTAGGCGAACCGGATAATGTAAATATGAAAGCCATTCCACATGAACGACAAAATCAGAGCACAAAAATTTCAACAAGTGCAAATTGATTCTTTGATGACATCCGTAAGTAGAGTATGGACAGCAATTTTGTTTCGTTCTTTTCAACATTGCTGTTCCCCAAAAGCTTCCCTGATATTAGAGACCTGCGGGAACACACTGAAGTTTTGATCTGATAACGATAATCCCCCTTTCCATTTAACACAGCCCTCATGCGCTCTTCCTGTCCCTCTTAACCCCCTTCCCAACCCCACCCCCCCTCCACCTTGGCCCTGCATCCCTTTTGTTCCCCCCCTTGCCTTTGTTTCCTCCTCCTGCTGGCTGTGCATGGTCGCCCTATTCAGGGCTATGTCGGAGACGCCTGGAATGTCTTTGACGCCCTGGTGGTGATTGGCAGTGTAGTCGACATCATACTCAGCCAGGTAGAGAGACGCCAGTATGTTCGGCTTTGTCTTGTGCTACCTCCACCTCTTGCCGCTTCTGTCCTTAGCACCTCCTTGCTTTTCCTTCCGTTCTTCTTTTTCATTTCATTTTTACCGCTTGGCGGAAAATAGAGATCTAGGTTGACATGGCACATGAAAAAAATCGAATGAGCCAAGCTGGGAATTGAACAGGAAATTGCTGGATTCGTACTTTGAGAAACTCCAACGAGGGAATCAAGTATCCTAGACAGCACACGTGAAGACATGTAATGCCATTTTATTTGCCATTTCTTTGCTTTTGTGTACTCATAGTCTACTTAGGTTTGTCACTGCTGCTTTTACTGTGAATGTGTTGAGCAAGGTTCTGGGTACGTGTGCTTTTTATTTCATGAAGCCATGAGTGTGGGTGGTATGATAAATAATGACTTCCCAGCCATGTTGGTATAAAAATGATTTTGATTGATATTGGCTGTAAACATCAAAAGTTCTTTTACAATGACAGATTCTTTAACAGTTTGCATTCTGATCAAAATTCCCTCTCTCAATTTAGATCTAATATATAGTACACAAAAGCAAAGCAATGTCGAAAAAAAAATGTCTTTATCTACTAAATTAAGCTCAGCAAGACGTTACGTTCTACTTGTATTTCTTCCTGCTTGAATCGTGAGTGTTTTGGGCAAGGTTCTGTGTATGCGTGCCTTTTATTTCATGAAGCCCTAACTGTGGATGGTGTGATAAACAATGACTTCTCAGTTCATCATGTGACTTTGCTCACGTCATATGTTATATGTCATACCTTGGCCACCCCATTGAAAACATTTCTGGCTCCGCCCCTGGAGGAATGTTCATAAGCTTTTTGCTTGATAAGAATAGTGGAGGTCACTGGTGCCTTCTCAAGTTATGGAATGCCATGATTGAGGATGATGAGCGTAAAAAAAAAAAAAACAACATAAATAAATAAATAAAAGAGAGAGAGGAAAAAAAATCTTCCAATTAATGCCCCAAACAACATATAACTGTAATGTATCATGTCTTAGTTACTTCAGAAGTGAATCAAAAATGTTGGCTAGGTAGCAGACAGCAGCATAGATATGCAGAGTTCCCGTTCTTTTTCCTGCGTCTCACACACAAGAGAATTGGCCGGGAGAAATCAGACACACGTTCACTGACAAATGATTTTGTACGCTTTTGTTTCAATGCTGAATCACTATTCTGTATTAAATATAAACTACATACTGTAACAAACATAAAGAAATATCAACTTCCACACTTAAATTTCCATCTGTTGAATCATGCGGCGATGACCTACTTTTTTATAATATATGCATGATGGTAAATAGATACTCTCTTCATTCAATAATCAATAAATTAGCTGATTTAAAATACTGCCTCCAGAAAAGAAAGTTCTTTTTCTCACAGTCTTAACATTTTTTGTTTTGCATGAGATATCTTCTGTCATTCACAATGCTTTTTTCTTTTACCAATATTTCCTTTTCTTTCTTGCCCTGTCTATGTGTATCTTTCTCTCTCTCTCTCTTTGTGTTTGTGTGTTTGTCTTGTTGGCTTGCGGCTTGCAGAACTATTTTGCTGATGCATGGAACACGTTTGATGCCTTAATTGTTGTCGGTAGCGTGGTTGACATTGCCATCACTGAGATCAATGTAAGTAATCACACATGCATGCACGTCTGTTCCCCTTTGTTGTTAAACTGCAGTGGTGCTGGCGGCTTGATTTGGCTTTCAAATTCCGTTCAAGATCACAACCTTTGTTGCATTCATTTATTTTGTAAATGTTGGAAACGAATGACTTGAAGCATGCACCATTAATCGATTCCTTTACATTCATGTCATTAATTTATTGACAGTAATTCTGTCACACTACAATGTCTTTATGTGATTCCTAACTATCCATTCCTACCATTAACAAGAAGCAATCAATATACTGTGCAAATTTGAGAAAATCTAAAATATATATACCGAATATACATTTTGCAAATCTGTAAAGCTAATTTGCTTTCTGCAGTGCGTGTTTGAAAAGTTGCTTAAAATAATATCGCACGACAGCTGTATTTCTCTTACTTCATAAAACAAAACAAACCCCCCAAAGTATCGTACAGGATGTTGCGCATCAACCATACATTTTTACCGGTAGTTCAGTTTACTTGAAAAAAGTTGGGAAACCAATTGCCTCACTTTAAAAAAAAAAAAAAAAATCAATTTCTAATCCAAATCACTGTCCTCATTATGAAATAACTGCAATTAACTTTACTTTTCGGCCATTTATCTTATCGTACTTAAGGCCTAGCTACCAAAAGAAAACGAGGCAATCACTTTCCAGACATTTTTAAGTGAATCTTAAAAGTAGGCACAGCTTCATATTTTTGTGGTAAGCAATCACAAAGTACAACCTGGAACTTTGAAGGGTGCATTAGCAAACCCAGATGAGTAAACAGATCAATTTACTGTGAACAACCTGGGCAGTGCTGTCGTAGCGTACAGGCGATCCAGCACGAGGTGTTCAATGGACTTCGTGACAACAGATATCAGAGCGACGGGCCAAGAGTCGTTCAGTCCCAATATCGCAGGTTTCTTGGCGACCGGGATCACGGGGAAGCGTTTGAAGCAGCGACTTCACACAGCTCCAAGGATGTGTTATCGATCTGTGCGCAGACTGGAGCGAGCTCAGTTGTCAGCACGTCCGTACCAGACTGACGGACCTTCTGTCAGTACTGACGGAATGTCCACCTCTGCTAACAGGAACATACTGTACTGTCGGGGAAGTCTCATACATTTGTTAAGCACTGTACATGATGTACCAAGACTGCAATTTTCATGTTATTTCAGTGTACATTTATATGTCGTGTCGATTCATTTGTGTTTTCGTCAGTCGTCATCTCATTTCTGCAATTGCAGTGTTGCAGTGAATATGAGGAAGCTTGTATCGCTGACGATGATTTTTATTCATTGTATAAATTGGATTGCACTGTTAGACGAGAGAGTGATCGAGAGCGACAGAGAGAGATTGATTGCGTGATGTCATAATTATGGGAAGAGGAATTCCGTCTCAATTTGTGTTGGGTGCTGTGCATGTGGTTTATGTAATTCTGATTAATTTGAGGTTCTTGATTTTAAGTCGGCAGCGCTCCCTGTCGTCAAGGTGATAGTGGAACAAGGGGTAAGAAGAAGCCCCGCCTCCTTCATTTCAACTGCAAAAACATTTGGTCACTGGGGGGAAAAAATAGACTCTGTCATTTCATATATTTTGATTGAACATTTGGAATTGCTCGCAATTCGGCTTCAATTTCATGCTCAGCCAAAATGTTGTTTGTTGTAATTGTCTTGGCGCACGGCATGAGATGTTGTCATCATTCATTTCAACAAGCTGAAGTGTTTGCATTCAAATGACTAACGGTTGCATTAGGTTGACGTCGATGCGCGATGAAGACATCAGACTTGAGGTTGCTTGTATTGATGCTCTGCATGTATGTCTTATGGACTGTTGACTGATCAGCCATTTTGTTGTTGTTTTGGTGAGGCATTCAGGTGTGTTGTTCATGGCATGCTGTTGCTCTGCATGCGTCCTGATTCGGTTCTGAATGCCATGATCAAGAAGTTCAAAATCTTCCACATATCATTGATCTGCCTGTTTCAATACATCACGTTTAAATGTAGTTGAATAGATGGGTTTGGGTTGCATGTTTTCATACTTCTTAATTGCCCCATCCGCGATTATTAATCCTTCGATGGATATCGTCATTGTGCAGAACACCGAAGACAGCGCTCGCATCTCTATCACCTTCTTCCGCCTCTTTCGAGTGATGCGATTGGTGAAATTGTTGAGCAGGGGGGATGGCATCCGGACGCTGCTGTGGACCTTCATCAAATCCTTTCAGGTGAGTCGAGCATGCAAAATTGTTTTAACAATAACACAAAATATTTGACGTGTGTTGACCGTTGTCTGTCCGCTCCTTCCAGGCTCTCCCTTATGTTGCACTTCTGATAGCCATGCTGTTCTTCATCTATGCAGTCATCGGAATGCAGGTGAGGCAGTCCTTTGGGTGCGCAGAATTTGCAGGGAACAATATTTAAAATGCAAAAAAAATATATAAAAAAACGTTGTGGGGCGCTGCCCTCATTGCCCCGAATAGCAAAATGTCGTTGATTTGACTGTTAGGGTACCATTTGACTGAATGTTTGGCTGTCCATGTTACTGCCGCCAGGTTTTTGGAAAAATAGCCATGGTGGATGGAACACAAATCAACCGCAACAATAACTTCCAAACGTTCCCTCAGGCTGTCCTCATGCTCTTCAGGTCTGTTGTTGTCACTTTTGAATCATTGGTTTCCTGCAACAATTGAACGTGAACAAGCTGAGCATAATCGCTTGTTGCGAATGTTGACCGTTAGATGTGCCACCGGCGAGGCCTGGCAGGAGATCATGCTGGCCTGTCTTCCCGGGAAGTTGTGTGATACCGAGTCGGACTACAACCCCGGCGAGGAGCGAACTTGTGGCAGTGGCTTCGCCATCATCTACTTCATCACCTTCTACATGCTTTGCGCTTTTCTGGTGATCCAGACACGTTCCACAAGACCACACAGCAGTCACATATGCAGGCACATGTGCAGACATCGTGAAATTAAACATCGTGTCTATGTCCTGGTTTCAGATTATTAACCTGTTTGTTGCCGTCATCATGGATAACTTTGACTATCTCACCCGGGATTGGTCCATTCTTGGGCCGCATCATCTTGATGAATTTAAACGGATCTGGTCCGAATACGACCCAGAAGCAAAGTGCGTAGGCCACTTTCCTTTTTGCTGTGGATTTCTTTCAGAGCCGATCCAGGCCTCCACGCGGCCCTATCCAAAATGAGATTTTGGCGACCTTAAATTCTGCCGATATTTTAACCCTTTCAAGGACCGCGGTTAATACAATGGACAGTTTACCCTGTTATCAGGTTACAGGGTACATGAAACGGTTACTATTGATGAATGATCATTTATACCTCTGCTCGGAACTAATGGCAAGTGAACACTGTGCATTATCCTGGTGTCAGTCTTTACCCGTGGATAGGTTTTAAACAAGCGTGGTCCTACGATATTGAATATCATCTCGGGCTGCTAAAAGTAACTACAAGTGCGCTATGCGTTCAGTGTCAAAGTGCCATCTGGGTCAATATTTTTTGGTTTTCAGAAAAATACCCGCATCAGCATTATGCAAAAGTCAATTGTATTGTGAGAACAGCACGAGAGTGCAACAACAAATCGACTTAAATAGGAACATAACTTGTATGTACAAAAAGAAAATATTGAATCAACTAAAATGTGAATGATGCAACTGAACAACCTGAAACGAGGTGACAGAAACAGTCTTAAAAAAAACTTACGTTAAATAATTAGGTCTTAGAACCTGCAAAAAAGAGGGGGTGTTGTTTCGTTTGTTTAAGCTTCGAGCCGGCTCAGATTTTTTATTTTTATCTATTTATTTTTTTAACTGTAGTTGTTCCTTGTTTTCATCTTTTCTTGTTATAGTCTTCTCATTTATTGGCTTGTTTTCCTGGCAGAGGCAGGATAAAACACCTGGATGTGGTGACATTGCTAAGGAGGATCCAACCTCCTCTTGGCTTTGGCAAACTCTGCCCACACAGGGTGGCCTGCAAGGTGTGTACTGAAGCACTGAACCTATCTAGACACTTTATAAATAGAAATAAATAAGATAGAATAACGTAAGAAAACCTTTATTATTTCACAATGGAGAAATTTGCAATTTACAGCACCGAAATTTGGAGGGAAGAAAGTAGAAAAACATTTGCATGCACATTATAATTATAATATAATAATAACAATAATAATATAATTAAAATATAATAAAAAATAATACGAGAAAATAATGAAGAGAATAAAAGAAAATTGCATTCTACACATTGCGATGTCGATTTGATTTTGATCAATTGTTCAGCCCTAATATCAAGGTTGGAATATCATCACATGTTGACAGGTACATTTAAATATGTATAAATATAACTTCCTTGGGAGAGGTAATAATTCTTTTGACAATAATAAAGTCAATTTGAAATAGAATTTACATTGTCAGTGTGCATGTTGGATATCCCCAGTCTGATCTTTGATTCATCTGCAGCGTCTCGTTGCGATGAACATGCCTCTGAACAGCGATGGCACAGTTATGTTTAATGCCACCTTGTTCGCGCTGGTGCGCACTGCTCTCAAGATTAAAACAGAAGGTGAGTCCAATTTAGCATTAGAATCGCAGTTTTATTTTTATTAGTAACCATGTGAAAGTGCCAAAAGTAACCACCAAATATGAGAAAGAATTTCCCCATCCTAAATCTTGTTTCCAAGGTAACCTGGAACAGGCTAATGAGGAGCTGAGAGCTGTGATCAAGAAGATCTGGAAAAGGACCAGCATGAAGCTGTTGGATCAAGTAGTGCCTCCTGCAGGCGGTGAGTGGTCCTGCAATTTTCGTGTCTTCTTTCCGGATGTTGAATACAGCCATTTTCACTTTACCAAGCCGGAATTTTATAATATTTTTCGTTTTATGCATAAAACTAATAAATGATCATCATTCCTTTCGAGATTGGCTGTGAGTGTCAAAAGATGTGAAGGGCTGAAATTCCCCCACCACACCCTCCCTCCCAAAAAAGAAAAATGCTGGACACTCATGATTGGTTATACATACGTAACAGTACATCATTGAGATTGCACATACCATGCAAATATGCCCCTTAGTGGCTGCAAGAAGTGTTGGGCAAACATACCGAGGTAAATAAAGGATTAGGAACGATGACGTGTCGGTCAACGTTGATTTTTGGCTTTGAAAATGCAAGTAAATAGAACGAACCCACCCGGCCAAGATGCACATTTGAATTAAACAATTGACTCATTTTATTAAGTTTCCATCAGTCTTGTTATCTGCTATACAATAGTTCATGTTTTTTGATGGCTTTGATCCCACGGATATCATACTGTCTGATTCTAAATCAAGCCTATATTATGCAGGATCAATACAGTACCTATGTTTTTATTTACTTTTTTCAATATATCCCAAATGAACACTGTAATTGTCACATTTCTCGCTTTCCGTGTGTTTGCTTGTAGTTTTTGTCCATATTTTCCTGACATGCTTCAGTGTTCTGTTCTAGATACTAAACATATTCAACTGCATGTTTACTATATATTAGCATAAAGCCATGTCTTGTCTTTTTTTTTTCACTTTGTGTCAAGCTCCTCTTTCCCACAGCTTGCTTTGCTCAGTCACACACTTTGCCTCCATTTCTCTTTCTGCCATCCTGGGCTCCCTGGGCAGTGCTGTTTTAGTCTGGTGGCAAGTAATTCCGGCGTAGTATCAGAGGAGTAACAGAGGCGCAACACTGCCAGCCACGACCAGTGTCAAGGCTCGCGGTCCTCACCCCTTTATATTGAAAGCAAATGTTGCTGTGACGCTGACATCGCTGAGCATCGAATTACCCAAAACAACAATACAAATTAATCCCTGCTGTACTGTTACTCCGCTGTTGCGCCAATGTATTGTGAAAACAGTCCGTGGCCTTTCATCTGAGTGAATAAGACCTGATGAGGTTCCCTGCATGGCTGATGGTGCTTTTAATTCGCTGCTTCGTTTCTGGCTGTCCTCTACTTTGCTTGTTGTGTCTCAAGATAAGAGCTTTACTTGACCACTTGCCGCTTCTTTAAACTATGCTGCCAATAGCCATTCAGCAGACCTCAAACATGTGCATTTGGTGAAGGATCTGAAGCTAAAAACTCGGGCTGAAATTAGCTCTTCCCAACATACAAGTTGTTTTTTTTTTTAAACATATTTCCATAACATCAATTACTACCGTCCCATTAGCCAGGTCTATATTCGCCGTATTGTGGCATCTAAGGTAGTTCAGAAAGACGAGAGAAATAAGATAAGATATCCTTTATTTGTCCCAAACTGGGGAAATTTGCAGTCTACAGCAGCAAGATTGTGGGTAGAAATGCAAATACATTGAAAAGCCATAAATAGGTGAGTCTTTTTTGTGTGACTAGCTGAGCATACAGAAGGTTTCACAGAAGCAAAATGTGAATCACTGTACTTCTATTTCCATTATGTCTTATTACGTTATCGAGATAGAACACACGCGCACACACACACAGAGGATGAGACTTTTTTTTTTTTGTGCCTTTGGTGTTGATTGGGGAGGCCTCGGTGTGTCTGGTCTCTTCACTCAGACGACGAGGTAACGGTGGGGAAGTTCTATGCCACCTTCCTGATACAGGACTACTTCAGGAAGTTCAAGAGGCGCAAAGAGAAAGGCCTTGTGGGTCAGCGGCGCTCATTCATCAGGATTAACAGCACCATGGCGCTGCAGGTGAGTGCCGTCAAACCGATCAACGGTCCCAATAAAAACCTGAAGTGAAATCCAAAGAAATCACTTGTTAACTACGGATATTCAATACAATTTTTTGAAAGACCAACACCAGTACGAGTATTCACTCTTTGAGAATTCACCGATTATGACAACCAATACCTTCAGTACTTTTGACATATAAAATTTCATTTAAAACAATGACACATTTCTGTCAGACGCAGATGGTGATTCGCCCCGCACTATAGCGCCAACTACTGTCAACAGGGACTTATTTGAAATCAGATTTTTTTTTCTTTTTTTAGCCTTAAGTATACCGTAGGTGGCTGGTGAACCAGTGAAACCTTTCGGTCCTTCTGCATGTCTTTCAGGCATCGAAATTGACTTGGAGCTAAATAATTGTATGACTGCAGTTTTTCACCATGTGATGCTCCTTCTGAAACATCTTACGTTCTGGTTTGTTGTTAGCGTGTGATCTCAAAATCAACAAAATGACATTGACAAATATATGCAGCACTGAAAATAATTACCTGCATCTGTTGTTATTTCTTACGGGATAAATTGATTCCAAAACCACCATGTCACGCTCCTGGAACTAGTACTCAAGCGGCTGAGCTACAGTATTTCCTGTTGCGTTCCATTTCATCCCACGTGACTTCTTTACAGGCTGGCCTGCGCACGCTGCATGACATCGGGCCTGAGATCCGTCGAGCCATATCATGTGACTTGCAGGACGAGGGGCTTGTCGATTTGACAGAGGAGGAAGATGAGGGAATTTGCAGGGTATCCCACATTTTATAGACCATACATTTGGCCAGAAAGATTATTTTAATTTGTACTGTACCTGGTAACAAGCTATCCTGTACTGTAGCATACTTGTAAACAACGTTTGTTCCTGGGGTCTCTCTGCAGCGCAATGGCGGCCTTTTCGGTAACCATGTCAACCACGTCGATACGAGTCTTCAAGGCTCCGCCCACCCAACCACTGTCACTCAACGTCCTCTACAGATCCTCCCATTTTCCTGCAGTGCCTCTACAGAACCCGCCCAAATGGGCCTGAGTGATGATGACAGAAGCCAAAAGTCAGAAATAAACTCGTCACTTGTCCAGTATAATCATCATCAAATGTCTCATCAGTCCGACTACTCCTGCTTTAATTCCAATCACCAACAATCACCCGTACCCTCCAATGCCAACCTCAACAATGCCAATGTGCCCATGCTTCTGTCTGTGACCCGCGGGAGGCAGCAAAAACATTTGCTGGCGACAGACCGCCTGTCCTCCACCAAAACGGGCTCACCCATGTCCACCCGCAGCAAACCTTGGAAGTCGCTCTCCATGAGGTCGGTTCCTTCAGTCCAGGTCCATAAACGTGTTGGTTCATTTATGTTTGAATCAAGAAAGTGACTGAAATTATAGGTCTGCATTTGACATGATGTGTCAAAAATGTTTGATGTACAAAAGAAGTTTCAATGGTGAATATTCTTGAAAAAAGACCCCTCAAAAAAGTGCCAAAAAAACTGCTTTACAAGAGCAAATTTTCATAATTCATCCATACATATATTTTCAATCGTTTAGTTTCTGTAGCTCCTCAATATGCAAACTCCACACGGGAATGCCAAATTTGAGATTCAAAAGCACAAAATTTGATGCGTTGCTTGCCATTTTTAAGATATAATGAGCCGATTTGGTTCCTAATAAGTTATCGCTAAAATGTGATGAAACCACAAACAATCCACAGACAAACAATCTCAAAATGAACCAACACAACATTTTGTCCAATTGTGGTCACAGCCAATTGCAATGTGTTCACTGTTGTGCTTTTTTCTTCTTTTTCGTCTGCGGATCTCCTGTTCCATTTAATCCTTTGTGCTCGGCTGACCTCATGCATTCCTCATTTTGAACAGGAGGCACCGCTATGAGACCTACATTAGGTACAGTATTATTCATGAAATTATGAGATCAAAAGCAGCAGGTGGCAAAATTACCCATTAAACTACTAATTCTGCATATTAAAAATATGTATTATTTAATTCATTTCTTTTATTTTTTTAATGTAACCCACAAAGCATTTACTTCATCATACTTCTCAAAATATTTGTTGCATTAATTTTCTTTTTCTAAAATAGGTTTACTAAAATACAGGTATTCCATTTTTTTTAAATTCAGTTGTCTCATTAAATAATTGTTATTATTGTCATGTTTGGTCTCTTGCATATTGACCTGATGCTGGCTTGCCAGGTCAGAGATCAGCAGGGGTCGCCAACCCGCCGCGCAGACATCCGAGCCAGTGGAAGTGGACAGTGATGAGGAGCAAGGCTCAGGAGAGTACTACTACAGCGGGGACGAGTCTCATGAAGATGACATCATGCTCACTAAGGACAGGTACAATCAGTCACACTCTCCATCCATCATTCATCCATCACAGCAACCATCGAGGGTCAAGGGGACAACCGTTCAAGTAGTCACTGAGTGTGTCGCCTGAACGGATGTCGCACAAGTGAACCACTTCACCGTTTGGACATCTCCATGCTCCTCACAAAAATCATGTGTATTTATTTTTATGCTGTTGTGCAGGCTGTCAAATAAAGAGTCTTGCAACGTGGAGGGCGATTCGGACGCCGAGTCGGATTGTTTCTATGACGATGACCAGCAGCCCATATGCCAAGACAGCAGGCAGTCGCCTCGGAGATGGCTTTTAGCATCACCGCAAGGTGACACACTGGCCTGACCTTGTTGAGCTTTCCTTCCCAATTACATCGCATCCTAGCTGCTTCATTAGGCTCACCTGGACAGTTCCAATACAAAAGCTGTATCAAAAATGACACTTTCACAAAAATAATAACACATATTTTGGCCCTCTAATAAAGATAAATAGGGTACAGTGACGGCGACACGGTGGGCCACCGGTTAGCACATCCGCCTCACAGTACAGAGGTGTGGGGTTCGGTACCAGCTCCGGCCTTCCTGTGTAGAGTTTGCATGTATTCCCCGTGCCTGCGTGGGTTTTCTTCAGGTACTCTGATTTCCTCCCACATTCCAAAAACATGCATGACAGGCTGATTGAACATAATTCCCCCTCCCACCCCCCCAAAAAAAAAAAACTTTAGTGTGTAGCAGGAGGCACCCATTTGGTAATAAGGTTTAATCTTTGCATTATAGTGGAACATTGTCACCTTTTTTTTAGTTTGGTCACGTGATCAAGCTTCAGACTTTTTCATAAACTTGTAATGAATCTCATTTTATTGTGCAGGTCCAATTTTACAGCCTGACTGTTCAATCTTTATAACACAAGTTGTGTGTCCGCACAGCCCTCAATAGACCGACCTTCAGTTTTGAGTGTCTTCGCAGAAGAAGTAATCAGGAGGATGCTCCGCCCTCTCCTTCCTGCACTGCTCTTCCATTGCACTTGCTGCAGCAACAGGTACAAGTTCCACCATACACATTTTTGCTTGATATTCAACTTGTTATCATTCGTCTTTTGGACGATTTGTTGTCCTTTTACCATTAGGTCATGGCGGTGGCTGGCCTGGATGCCAGTAAACTTCAACGACTCTCTCCCACGCGGTCGGTCCTTTCCTGGGCAACGCCCCCAGCTTCCCCTCTCGCCTATGATTCTTCGCCCTGCTACACGCCACTCATACAGGTGTGCACAAACGCTTGTGAGGAACAATGCAGATATTTTTTCACATTCAGGTGAATCCTAAAAACGCATTGAAAAAAAAGCTGTGTTAAGTCTTCGCTGATGACCTAAAATCAGCAAAAAGTTGAGGATTTACAATTCAGCCATGTGAATAAAAATATATATATACACCAGCTAAACTCACAGATATTTAATGAGACTCGCCATTTTGGGGAACAAAAAATTTATACACACACACATACACGCACACACACACACGCACACACACACACACACACACACACACACACACACACACACACACACACACCGTATTTTCCGCACTATAAAGCACAACAAAAAGTCTTCCATTTTCTTAAGAGCTCACGGTGCGCCTTGTATATGGTCATTACTGTAATAGTCGAGCCCCAAGATGGCTCCTTGCTGGAGACATGCTTACAATGTTGTAACTTGCTGTTAGTTCAGTGAACTGTGTCGCTGCTTTATTAAATATGTTTTTGTTGCAGCTACTAAAAAAAGGAGAACAGTGGTGTTTTTTTTTTAAACGCACACTTTATGAATGTTTTTCACAGTCTCAACAAATACAGTTACGTCTGTCCGTCTCCGTGCCTTCTACTCAAGAGGCGTTCATGACCGCCTCGGTAAAACGTAAACGAACGATTCCTTCATTGCAACTACGAAAATTGAAAATAATGCATCACAACAGAAAATCAAGCGAGGAAATCACAAAGTAAATTCTTTTGCCCCACGACAGAATTTATTTTGTGATTTCCTCGTTTGTGAATACAGTACACGACAAAGGAATAAAAAACAAACACTTCAGAGACAGTCCGGTCTCCTACAATTTACTGACATTTGATCGTTGTGGTGTAGCTACGCTCAAGGAAATGCCAAAATAAATTCTGTGGGTGGGTATAGAATTTATTTTGTGATTTTCTGTTTTGATGCATTACTGTATTATCAATTTTCGTAGTTTCATTGAAGTAATCGTTAATTTACGTTTTTTTTGGAGGCAATCATGATCACCTCTCGAGTCAAATGAAGGGCTGTAGCTTCATCTAGTGGATGCATTGTAGATTGTGCCTTACATTCCAGTGCGTGCAATATATGAAAAAAAATACAAAAAAGGCCATTTATTGAAAGTATGCCTAATAATCCAGTGCACCTTTTTGTGTGTGTGTGTGTGTGTGTGTGTGTGTGTGTGTGTGTGTGTGTGTGTGGCGCGCGCGCGCCCCGGTGGTCCAGTGGTTAGCGTGTCGCCCTCACAGTGGAGAGGTACCGGGTTCAATGCCAGCTCCGGCCTCCCGATGTGGAATTTGCATGTTCTCCCCGGGCCATCTTACTCATGACTCTCAGGTGGACCAATAAAAATAAATACATGGATTGAAATGTCTCCATCCTCAGGTGCGGTGGACTTTATTTCCGCTAAATTGAGCTGTCCAATGAAAAACAATCAATTTTTGCCAATGCTGTATTGAACACATAACTGTCAACTGACAACCCCATTTGCAAGATATTTTAATCTATGCTTCATGAATAAGGTCACATCACCGAGCTTTGTTTTATCTGGAGAGATCTCAAGTGAACAGTCATCCTCCTTCCTGAGTACGTGATGCGAGTCACTTTGACCACCACAGAAAAATGCTCCAAGTGCGAAGATTGGCACAGACCAGATACGAGTCGAAAAGTCCAATCACATCTGTTTCAAATAGGACACTGGATCATTACGGCTTTGATAACCAAACCACGGTCATTCCCTGGACATTTAATGACAACAACCACTTTGTTGATTGACAAATTGGCGATGTAGTTTCGTGTGTGTGTGCGCATGCGTGAAGCTGAAGTGTCTTTCTGGTATGCTGTAGCTGTCGTTGCTATCGTTTTGGTTTGGTTTCAGCTTGTGCTTTTTTGTCTTCCTCGTTTGGTGTTCTGTCCATCTGTTCTTGTCATCTGGGTCCCTTGTGTCAACCAATCAGCTGCCTCAAGCCTTTGTGTCTTGTCCAGGTGTTTCTTGTTGTCTCGTCAGTTTGCTGGTATTTAGTGCCCTGGGTTCTGTCCGTCTTTGTCAGATCGTTTGTGACTGTCGCGTTGGTTTGTTTCTGTTGAAGTCGTGTTTTGATTCCTGTCGTGGTGTTTTAGTTACGCTCGTGTGACTTTGAATTTTGAGCTTTTAAAGACTTTGTTTGTACTTTTGATTGAGTTTTTCCAGTGTTTTGTTAATAGTTTGTTTCGTGCACTCTGCTTTTCCTGCCCACTTGCTTTTTGGGTCCTCTACGATCATGCAACATGTCACCGGCACCCAGATTGGCTCACCAACCAGTTACTACTGTCAACCATTCACATCTCACATTCACACAGTCAAAGGTTCGGACCTGAAGGGAACCACTACACCACAGGTGTCAAACTCAAGGCCCGGGGGCCAGATCTGGCCCGCCACATCATTTTATGTGGCCCGCGAAAGCAAATCAAACATGTCAACTTCCATGATACTTGATAAAATCTCTACCAAAATTTAAAATTCTCATATGTAATAACTGGCATATTGTAAGCATTTTCTTGTTACCAAACCCCTCATTACAGTAACTTAAACAATAGTGAAATAAACCATAATTATTGAATTTTTATATGGTTTCAGTGATAACGGCCCTCAAAGGGAAACGGTAACTAAAATGCGGTCCACGACAAAAATGAGTTTGACACCCCTGCACTACACCATCAGTAACGCTACACAAAGGAATTCTGGGGACAACCAACCATGTCTATAGAATCATACCAGGATATGTCACATGAATCACTCATGAAGAATTTGGAACAAAAGTTGACAGCTAAAACACAACATAAGCCATCTTGGAGGCGCAGCTTCGATCAACAGATTTTTCTGCTTTCCATGGCCACTTCCTGTTTAGCAGATTTCATGGCCAATTAAAAAGCCACGTGCCTCATGACAAAACAAGGTGGCTGACTTTACTTACACTCTTTTGCCCAAAGGGAATTACTGCGCTCTTCAAAACAATGAGAAAAAAAAATGTTGTGCATTGTCCCTTGCCCCAAATGCAGAAGTGACTGAGCAAGTCTAACAAACTTTAACAAGTGTATTATTTTTAAATTTTTAGTGAGTAATATAGATGTAGCGGCCCAGTTGTCAAGTGGTTAGCACGTTGGCTTCACAGTGCAGAGGTCGTGGGTTCGATCCCGGCTGAGGCCTTCCTGTGTGGAGTTTGCATGTTCTCCCCGTGCCTGCGTCGGTTTTTTCGGGGTACTCCGGTTTCCTCTCACATTCCAAAAACATGCATGGCAGGCTGATTGAACACTCAAAATTGTCCCGAGGTGTGATTGTGAGCGCGGATGGTTGTTCCTCGCGGCTGGCAACCGGTTCAGGGTGTCGCCCACCTACAACCCAAAGACAGCTGGGATAGGCTCCAGCACCCCCCGCAACCTTTGTCAGGATAAGCGGATCGGAAAATGAATGAACGTGTGTTTGTGTGTGTGTGTCCTTAGGTGGACTGGCGGAGCTCAGGCAGCGTGGGCAACATCCCAGCCTCGATAAAGAGGAGTTCCTGGTACACAGATAGAAACGACAGCGCATTCAGCCGCGGCCACTCGCCCTCACGACTCCAGCTTCCCGCTGAGAGTTGCTCACATTTCTTGCAGAAGCGAGGCAGCGCCAACAGTCTAGTGGAGGCTGTAAGTGCATCACTTCATCACTTTGTTAGCAAGCACAGGGAAGATGTCAGCGCAAAAATAATCGATTGCTTAGTACAGATAGTTTGACTGGCTCAATTGAATTTTTTTTCATATCCGACCCGGGTTAATTTCATTTGTGATCTTAGATCGGATATGTATCAGATTTTTTGCAACGCGACCGCAGTCTGAATGGCCAGGTCGCATATTTATGACATGAATGTAATCCGGAGCCCCAAATGTGCCCCGCATGGAGTTGGAGTTCAGAGATCGAATCTGCAAAGCTGTTTTGAATAAAAGTATTGACTTTCTATCTGACTTTCATTTAATCCCACTTGAAGGATGAAGCATAAAGTGGACGTTTATGGTAATAATAGCAATTCGGTCATGTAGATCGGTTAATTTTTTTATGCACAGTAATCATTTAACACTGAAAATGAAGTACGAATCAACACAATTTCAGTTTTGAGATCAAGACAAATTACAAAGAGGTAGAAAGAAATTCCAAGATTCAGGATCTTAGCTTTATTTTAAAGATTGAAACATGAATCGCAGAACCAAGCAGATGAACAAAATTGCAAATATCTTTTTTTTTTTTTTTTTTTTTTTTTTAACGTTATAACCTGAAGTCATCACATCATTTCATGAAACGGTATGATGTTTTTACATTAGAGCTAATGTGAAATTGTTGACTTTGTCTCAGGCGTTGATCTCGGAGGGTTTGGGAAAATACGCCAGGGACCCCAATTTTGTGTCGGCCACCAAGCACGAGATAGCGGACGCCTGCGAGATGACCATTGACGAGATGGAGAGCGCCGCCAGTAATCTCCTAAACGGCAGCCTGGCTGACCCCGGCGACGTCGGGGCCGCTAGCTCGGACCCCGCCGTGCACAACATGCGTGACTACAGCGACGAGGAGACTTACGCTGCCGTCAAACGAGAGGAGGACCTCACAGACGAGATGATTTGCGTCACGTCGCTATAGCAGCGGCCCTTTGTTTTTATTTATCGATTGATTCCAATTGGCGTCCTGCTGCTTTTTTTCCACACCGGGTGGACCGTTGTTCCTCTCACGATAGACGACATGAGAATGAAGTGCCTTGTTTTCTCTTTCTACAGGGACATGGAACAGAAGACCTCTGAAGAAAACAAATATTGAAAGTAGAACATTGAATTGATGTTGTATTGGATTTATTTACGTCTCCAAGAACGGTGACAGTTGTTCAAGACCAGAGAAATCTTCTTGCTTGCTCCGCAAAGCCATTCCGAATCCTATGAATTCACTTTGAAAACAACATGAGAGGTGATCATTTGTGGTGATGAAACTGCGTGTGTACTGTGTGTCGGATGAAACAAAGATTCATGTTGTTAGCTATGAGTCAGGCTGAGATCAGATTCAAAAAATGTTTTCTTGCACAATACCGTTATGTTTATCTGTAATGCAGTGGAATCGCTGAAGCGAAACATCCCCCCAACCCCTGAAAAGAATGCTCATCCAGATTTATAATTTTTCTTGCGTTGCCATCACTGGTAGCCTTCCATGGTAGCACCACAAAAAAAAAGTTGAATTACTTATGAGTTGCCCACTTAATTGATCTCTTGCACTTTGACCTTCAAAGTTTTATGACCAAAGTCGCATTTTCCATGACAATTTTTTTGCTCAGTTCCCAAATTAGATGACTCTTTCACTTTAGAGCAGGGTTGCCCAAACTTGTTGGACCGAAGATCGACTTTATGATCAACCAACCGCCCACGATCGACCTGTTACTGCACACGCACATATACACACACGCACGCCATGATGAGCAACAGCCTGACACGGCATCCGACCTACTTTTGCAGCCTGTTGACTATCGTAGCTCACACGTCCCGTTTTAAAGTGCTTCCCTCGGCCCTCTAGATTCCTATTCTTTGCCCGTGCCCTCGGTGAATTGTACACGAAACAAACTCTGAATGAGAATAACGAGAACGATAAAAGATCTGGCGCAACCGCTCTGATCACAAGCTGCAATTGCAGACATGCTGAGCGCTATCAACTTCCGATGACGCAGTAGGTTAAAGATTTACCTGCTTTATTTTATTTTCTTAATACTTTTTGTGAAAATGAGACTGATAGGATGATTAGGGTGCAGTGTACATTCACTCAAAAAATATATTACTAACTTGCACAAAGACACACGAATGGTTTTGGTTTTTTTTCTCCTCAACATCCCTCGCGATAGACTTGGGATCAGCCCGCGATCAACCGGTCGATCGCAATCGACAGAATGGGCACCCATGCTTTAGAGGTTCCACTGCATTTACTCTGCTTAATTTTCAGGGTCCTGGAGCCAATGCAAAGTTATTACAGGTTCTTGACCAGACTTGAAAAAAAAAATAAAGAAATAAACATATCAATATACGGTACAGTACAATCCAGGAATGCAATTAAAAAAAAAGTGCTTTCACTCACAGGAAATTAATGTTTAACAATAATGATTTCAAATGATAGTTTTAGCGTTAAAAATATCAATTCACATGCAATTGTTGACTCAGACATGGAGGACATTCAGAAACATGAATAATTGCTGCAAAATCTTTGGAAATTGCATGAAACTTACTATCAGTTTAACGGTCTATGGTCTCGGGATCACAAAGTTGACTTGTCATGCAAAAGCCGCAACAGTCCTAATCGAATAACCGCCGTCACGTCCTTACAAATCACATCTAGAGTACAGAATAGGATTTTCTCCACCAATCCAACAACTAAAGTTCAGATTAAAAAAACATACCATAAAATATGAACGGAGATCTATTATTAATGACAGTTGTGCATTTAAAGGGCTTTTTAAAACAAAATATTTAGAAAAAGACGTTCATTTTGACCAACTCAGGATTTCTACGAATGCAAAATATTTGGACGGAGACCTGACTGCAACGTTCCCACTTTATGTAAAATAAAGAACACAACTGGAGCTTTTTAATGCAAACTTTTGTTATATACTATAATAACTAACTACTGTACATGCAATCCCAAATCTTAATCTATTCCAAAGAAAAAAAAAAACAGTCTCTCATTTAGGTTCAAATAAAATAGCCCTTTAATAATCTCTCCAGGGGATAGAGCAGCATGCAGCGGTTTGTTTAAAAGATGAAAATAACGAACAGAAACTGTTGTATAAAAGATTTTTTTTGAATGATTAACTGGCATTTAGGCCTAATTAAAAATAAATAAATTTAAAAAAACAGCTGCATATTTTTGCACAGATTGATATATTGCACCACATGTTAGACAATCCCAGTTGCCCTTCAAAGCGAGATTGGACACTTGACACACAACCAGTTAGGAAATATAAAAAACAAAATTGTTATTATTGTTGTTATTATTATTATTCATTTTGAGTCAAAAACATTCAAGTGTGTGCAATCTTTATTTTTGTATCGATGTTTTTGGAATGTTCCACGGCTTTTTAGATGTTCATTAAATATTGTAAAGTACCGTTTCTGCTTTCTACTTTGAACGAAATAAAAGCATCATCTTGGGTATCAGCTTTGTTGCACAAAGTCATGTCAGATTTTCAACGGAAATCACCCTTTTGTACACTGCGGTTTCGAAAAATAAAAGTCAACACTGGCTTGTTTTGTTCTAATTAGGGGTTCCAATTATTTGCACCAGTAAATAAAACACAGACACGGCGGTGGCGAGGTAGATGCTATGAAGCCTTTCATCGACTTCCTTTGAACAAATTTAAAATCATTTCCACATTGAAAATCTCATTTCATCTCAGCAGAGATTCATTTTAGACAGTTCCCGCTCATTCCGTATAATTGCCACAGTACATTCAATGAGCATTAGCTCCAATGTGCTTAAAAATAATAAATGACAAGCTTGGGCAAAATGATAAAAAAAAAAAGTCACCAGCCTGCGTGGTTATGGCAGCCACAGCTTTTTTTCTCATTATAGCCTCCTTTTAATATTAAGAAGACATTGTAAGATTATCACAAGATTTGTTCTCGCTTCAAAGTGTTGCATTACTGCATAATTATGATGAATGGCTCCACTACAATGCAACACATTCGGCCTTCGACTGTATTCACAATGGCTGGAGTCGATCCCAGCCGTCTTCGGGCAGTAGGAGGGGGACACCCTGAACTGTTTGCCAGCCAATCGCAGGGCACACAGAGACAAATAACCATCCGCGCTCACACTCACACCTCTGGACAATTTTGAGTGTTTGATCAGCCTGCCATGCATGTTTTTGGAATGTGGGAGGAAACCGGAGTACCCGGTGAAAACCCACACAGGCCCGGGGAGAACATGGGAGCCAAATAGGAAGGCTGGAGCCGGGATCTAACCCACGACCTCTGCACTGAGAGGCAGACGCACTAACCGCTCGTCCCCCGGGCCGCCCCAATCTGTTTTTTGTGTTTGTTGAAATGTATGAAATCATACTGGCGGTATCGGTACTTGGTATCAGTGAGTACTCAAGAGTCAATACCGAATCCTGAAAAAGTGGTCTCAAACATCCCTATTTGCAACACTCTGGTAGCCCACCTGTGATTTTGGAGACTGTGAAACTCTTCACTGGAGTGATTTTAGCATTGATTCATGTGACATATCCTGGTATGATTCTATGGAAACGGTTGGTTGTCCCTAGAATTCCTTTGTGTAGGGTTACTGATGGTGTAGTGGTTCCCTTCAGGTCCGAACATTTGACTATGTGAATGTGAGATGTGAATGGTTGACAGTAGTGACTGGTTGGTGAGCCATTCTGGGTCTCGGTGACATGTTGCGTGATGGTCGAGGACCCAAAAAGCAAGTGGGCAGGATAAGCAGAGTGGGCTAAACAAAACTTATTCACAAAATACTGGAAAAACTAAATCAAAAGTACAAAGTCTTGAAAAAGCTCAAAATTCAATGTCACACAAGCGGAACTAAAACACCACGGCAGGAACCAAAACACGACTTCAACAGAAACAAACCAACGACGTGACAGTCACAAAACGATCTGACAAAGACGGACAGAACCCAGGGCACTAAATACAAGCAAACTGACGAGACAACAAGAAACACCTGGACAAGACACAAAGGCTTGAGGCAGCTGATTGGTTGACACAAGGTTGGTGAGCCAATCTGGGTGTCGGTGACATGTTGCATGATCGTAGAGGACCCAAAAAGCAAGTGGGCAGGAAAAGCAGAGTGCACGAAACAAACTATTAACAAAACACTGGAAAAACTAAATCAAAAGTACAAACAAAGTCTTGAAAAGCTCAAAATTCAAAGTCACACGAACGGAACTAAAACACCACGACAGGAATCAAAACACGACTTCAAGAGAAATAAACCAACGACGCGACAGTCACAAAACGATCTGACAAAGACGGACAGAACCCAAGGCACTAAATACAAGCAAACTGACGAGACAACAAGAAACACCTGGACAAGACACAAAGGCTTGAGGCAGCTGATTGGTTGACACAAGGGACCCAGATGACAAGAACAGATGGACAGAACACCAAACGAGGAAGACAAAAAAGCACAAGCTGAAACCAAACCAAAACGATAGCAACGACAGCTACAGCATACCAGAAAGACACTTCAGCTTCACGCATGCGCACACACACACGAAACTACATCGCCAATTTGTCAATCAACAAAGTGGTTGTTGTCATTAAATGTCCAGGGAATGACCGTGGTTTGGTTATCAAAGCCGTAATGATCCAGTGTCCTATTTGAAACAGATGTGATTGGACTTTTCGACTCGTATCTGGTCTGTGCCAATCTTCGCACTTGGAGCATTTTTCTGTGGTGGTCAAAGTGACTCGCATCACGTACTCAGGAAGGAGGATGACTGTTCACTTGAGATCTCTCCAGATAAAACAAAGCTCGGTGATGTGACCTTATTCATGAAGCATAGATTAAAATATCTTGCAAATGGGGTTGTCAGTTGACAGTTATGTGTTCAATACAGCATTGGCAAAAATTGATTGTTTTTCATTGGACAGCTCAATTTAGCGGAAATAAAGTCCACCGCACCTGAGGATGGAGACATTTCAATCCATGTATTTATTTTTATTGGTCCACCTGAGAGTCATGAGTAAGATGGAGACACTCAAAGCTGACTTTGGGGTAATCATAGGGCACATATACCGGAAGATAATAAAACATTCATACTCATAGCAGTGGATAATTTAGAAACTTAAAATTTAAAACCACACAAGCATGGAAAGTACATGCAAATTCCACACGGGAGGATCCTAAGCTGTTTCAACCCCAAACCAATTTGTGTACATTTTTATCACAGGCTTTGCTATTATATCCACAGGTACATAAGAAATTGTAAATATGGTTATGTATTGTTGTAAAGCACGTGTGAACTATTTCTACTGTATTCCTAACTTGGCGCCGCCTGGCAGGCGGCTGTGTCTTGTTCACTTAAAACCAGGAAATGGATAAGCGCAGTTCTGCTGCATCACTTATAGAAACACCAACATCTGTCAGCCAATCAGATGACAATGACGTCCTCGGCTTGCATTCTAGACCCAGGTTGGAACACGTTCT